TTTTTCTTGCAATCACAGCATTTCTACATTTGAAGGTAATACCTATATTTCATTCAGTATTAGTAAAACTGCTGTAAGAAGTTAAATTGCATTATAACAAGTGATACACAGAGAAATGGCAATGAAACTTGCAAGAACGTGGGTGAGAAATTTCTGCTAACACTCTCTCCCTAAATAATATGAAGAAGTTGCTGAGGTCTTTTATCAACTTGATTAGTACCATGCAAAACACAGTACAAGTCTATATCTAAAGGCACTTATGATCTAGTCAAGACATGAATACATATTACAGTCCAAAATAGCTTAAATTTTTCACCCCAGATAATATCACTACATCAGGAGAACGCTAAGTGAGCAGTTAGTGAATAACTGCCAGACACTTCCAGTGCAGCTCAGACACAGCAAGCAGGGACCACGGAGATCCTACTATAGTGTGGAATTCAAGGCCTGCGCCCACAGGAGCCAGCCCAACTGCTGGTGCAGGCCCAACCAGCCTGCAGCAAGCTAAGCCACGTGCTCCAGAGGGAGCTTACAACGTACTACAAAGGAATTTTTAGACAGCAATCTGCTTGGCAGATTTGTCTAACAGTAGCTGTGAAAGTTAACTGGGAGAAGCACTAGCTGGAAGCTGAAAACCTTGCACCAGGTTCTAGGAATGCTAGCCAGACAAATACCAGGGCTTGTTAATGCAACCCTGCAGCATCACATAATGTTTGTCACTTCTAAACTAACTGAAGATGCACACAGTAAACACATATCAAAGTAAGAAGTCCGCTGTAGGTAGCAGCATTATTTACTTTTGATCCTTATTTCATAAGCTTCAGAGCAAAGCTTTACTGTTGAACAAAAACTATATCAAGACATTAAATTAAGGCTGCCCCAAAAGGAAGAAACTAATTTTCCATCCCTGTAACTGATTTCACCTTGAAATAAATCGTAACTAATTCCAAAATGGCAGTGAGCTGCAAGTCTTACAAGTCATAATTTTGCATGTAAAATATAAATGCCACCTCAGCATGCATTTGTCACATTTTGCACAAACAACTATAAACATTTCTGAAGATAAGTACGAGGGACTAATGAAATTCAAACTATTCAGCTGCAAAGAGGTCATTTTCCAACCAGCAGCAAGTCCAATAGAGGAAAAGAAACACCTCTCCTTCATAAACAATCTTTTTAATGGATAACATTGTTTCACAATTCATGTCCACAATCTGACAATAATAAAACAATACAATAGCTCCTATCTTCCATGTTAGTTTCTTTATACTGACCATTGACTAACAAGCACTGCATGGCAGATGGAATATATTAGCATTTTGATAGACCTTTCCTACTGGATGCCTATTTCAGTGTCAGCAGGCACTAGACACCTGACCTCACAAATAACTCTGCTCATCCTGTGTGCTCAGCAAAAATACTGTTGACACGAGGCAATCGTTAGTATCAAGTTACTGTCCTGGTAAGATTTGTTCACTTTTTGGCAATGCTGTTTCAGCTGCATACAGACTCAAGCCTTTGAAGCTTACAAAGCACTGGATCCAATCACTTCTAGCCTTCTTCTCCTCAAAGAAGAATCAATGCAAGATCTGAACTAAGTGTAATCATTCCTCTCATTCCTTTGCAGGAATATTATCTATAAATAAAAAGGTAATCCTGAGCACAACATTAGAGGTAACAAGCATTGCACTAGCACAAGGGAACACTAGCAAATTCACTGCCTTTGGACTGAGTAAGGACCTTAAAATATCACCTCACTCTTCAGGATCTACATAAATTTGCTTAGTAGCAAATTTGAATTCAATTTCAGAGAAAACAGACGTGGTAACATTAAGGCATGGGGAACAGCAAAAAGAAGCAAGCAACATGAAACACAGAAGTAACTACTAATGTCTTGCACTTGTGATATTTATTAAAAGCTGCTTTCGATGTCAGTTTAACTATTAACATGGGAATATTTCTATAAAAGCTAGATAAAAGCTTTCCTGCTGATGATCAAAATGGACTAATATCCCTATAGAAATCTGAAGGTGCAATAGGGAACGCTCCTTGAAAGAAAAAAACAAAAAAAAACCACCCTAAAACTTGCAGATTCCACCCGCTAGCAGAAGAGAGTAACTACTTATTAACTACTTATTGTGTAGAGAGAAATTGCAGAGAAGTTTCGCTCTATCCTAAAACTCTAATTCAAGCTAGTAGCCTCCCATAAAAGCAACCAAAGAAAAATCAGAATCATACCAGTCAAAAAACCAAGAACACTGCCAACAGGATTATTTGGAATTACAAGAACACTCAATGGTTAAAAACTCATCAGTTGATGGCCCTGCTAACTTTTAGTGGCAATCTTAACAGCCTGCTAACAGCCTCTTCTCCCTTGTCCTTTTAAGTTCTACATGCTCCAGAGCACTACACTTATGAAAGCAGGCTGCACAGCGTTCTGATGAGGAAACATGGAACCCAAAGTAACAGCTTCCATTTCCCATAATCACCATGGGGG